TAGTACCGCTCTTGTAAAAACTACTTTACAGCTGCTGAGAAAAACAGTTCTCTGCTTTATGATGAAACAACTTTAGTTTACTCACCATCCTGAATTCTGCCAGCCAGAGCCTCTGAGCTGAACCCGGCAAACACCACAGTGTGTACGGCACCGATACGAGCACAGGCCATCATGGCTGCTACTGCCATAGGAGACACAGGCATGTAGATGGCCACCCGCTCTCCCCTCTGGACACCATAACTCTTTAAAGTGTTGGCAAGGCGACAGGTCATCTCCAGAAGCTCCCTGAGATTTGAATGTTTTACAGATATAAACATACAGCTGAGTAACAGGAAATTGTGCAGGTGGGAAAGTAAATATGTGATAGTTTGATTTCAAGTGGTTCAACTTGCATGGAAACACTGAAGTCACATGGTCATAATGCACCAAACTTGTATTTATGGGGTGTAGTTTAATAGTGTATATATATTACAATAAAGTACTGTCAAGCTTTTGTTGGCCTAATGAACATATTATTATGCCAGATTGAATCTGAGGAAACTGTTAATCAGGATCTAGGGTCATAGATGAGAAACAGACACGTGTCTGAGAACTCTACAGTACAGCCTGTATAGTAGAAACATCAGGCCTCAAGCATTTCTTGATCTCCTCCATATGCTTGTGAGATCAGGGACAAAACACTTTCACTTTCATACTAATGCGCATCAATGTTTTTTAACTTCCTGTTCGCACGTGGAAGCAGGAAAGTGGCATGTACATGTACACTGCTACACACATGACTGATTGTGCAATCTGACTGCTTTTTCACAAAACGCCCTCAAATGATTCCTATCTGACCTAGAACAAGAGATACTGGGAAACTAATCTTCACATTTCCGCAATAAAAGATGAGAAATAGTTCATTTTCAAGGTTCAGTGTGCAGGCTAGATCAGAGGAAGCAGCCTGCTGACTGTTGTGTTTTGGTAACATTGAGGACAGTAGGTAAGTCCTGTAAATATTTAGCCTACTGTTAACAGCAGTGATCTGAACCACAGCCAGGAATATTCAATCTTTATTTCAAGCACTACAGTAGAGAGCGGAGGGACGCACATTCCATCACAGGACCCTCAAAACCTGCCTTTGTTCTCCATAAGAAAGCCCATGTGAAGGAATCCCCCCCAAACTCTTCAGTAGTGTGCTCTCATTTTACATGTTAACCGTGTCAATCCCAGCAAGGCCAGGATTTCTAATCTATTACAATATTATAAAGAACAGTATGAAAACTGACTCTACTAAATCATAAAAATGCCATAATATGTTTGCAGATATTTAAGAAACATGCTAAGTTAACATACTTGTTTATCTGAAAAACAATGCTACAGTCAGTTATTCTCCTTTAAAAATGTAGGTTCCGGGCCGGAATGTCGGTCTCTATTTTGGGTTGTGAAACCCGCCCACTGCCAGTTTACCCAATTGTATTTCGGGACCCCGGGTTGCCAGTTGGCGGAAAACACAGCGTATTTCATTTCATTCATCGTCAAGTGCGCTGGTTCTTGTTGCTGTCGTCAATCTGGCAACCTGCGTGTGCATCAAGTCTGAGGAGGAGGGGCCAGGTGAAAAAAACCCTCTCCAATATTTTGAATTTGTACTGCAATACCTAGTTCAACCACTCAGTGTCAATCCTACATACAGCACCTTTAAAGATTAACTTTAGGTGAGCATTAGATGACTGTAAAGGTAATCTAAATGAAAACCTACAATCCTAGTCTTATGTGAGCGGAATTCATTAGGAAAATATGCTATTTGCTCTCAATACCACTGGAACAATAACTTGCATTGCTGTTACTGTTTACTGAAACTATTAAAATCGTTTTCATTAATTGAAATAAAATAAATAAAATATAAATATTAGATGAATAGACAAATGAAAAATGACATAACTGACTGACATAAAGCTGACATACTAAAATCACTAAAACTTAAATATTATATTTAAGCTAAACAGAAATATTGAAAAACAAAAACGAATAAAAATGACAAGTGCATAACAAAATTACTAAAATTAGAATGAAAACATTATATATAAAAAGCTAACTATACAAAATATATACTATAATATAAATACATACAACTAAATAAATGCTATAATATTATATAAATAGTCAAATATAACTGCTAACTTGTTACTATTGGCAATGGCAACAAGTATGTAATCAATAGGCAGTAGTGTCTAACTGATTGCCAGTCACTATTTGAATAAATTATATACCGGCAAATCTAAAATAACAGCATCATGAAAGTAGTTACTAGTTAGTTTAAAGAGACACATGTAAAAACTGCTTGCTTCAAAACCTGTGTGTTGAAAATGTAAGTCTGGGGGTAGGGTAAAGAGCCACATGCAAATTTCTCAGGACCTTCAAATGTACCTGTATGTGATCCTTTCTTCTGTGCCAGGTTCATCTTTCTCCCAAATCAAGGCTACTCTGTCTGGATCCTTTGCCACGTGTACATCCAAACAGTTCACTGTCAATCATTGTAATAGGAAATTACTATATGCTTACTGTTGACAAGAAAGAAGGTTGTTCTTTGTGGATGTGAAAATGTAAGTATTACAATCTCAGTTAAAATAAAGACTTTTATTTCTGATCTAGCATATAGGCCAGTGGAGGTTTATCAGCGATGGAAACACGATACACGGTTAAAGAAGAAAGGTGTGACACTCACCAGAGACGTTCAGTTGCCCTCCAAGAAACCAGTTGATTTTCCCGCTGGAGAGATCGCAGTCCGTCACTTGATCGAAAGGTTTGGTCCATGCCAGCCTTTCCTTGGCGATGGATCCCCAGAAAGTTTCTGGATCTTTGACTGACAGTTCATATAAATCTGAGTAGGTCTTCCCAGCGAGATGCGAGCTGAGGACCGGTTGAGCCGCGCCGATGCTGCTGCTGCTGCTGCTGGACAGAGACCTGGCGTGACACCGTGAGATCAACACAACACTTTTACTTTTGCGCACACATTTCTTGTTCCTAAATATTACATTCCCCCTGGCCAAAGAATTCAGCAAACCTATGCTCACACGTCCAGCCATTATTCCGCCCAGTCTGTGCTGGAGTGAAGTTTGCTCAAGTTTCCACAGCCCGTGGCCGTGACTGTTCCTCACAAGACTCAAGAGAGGGAGGAGGACACTTGTTGACAGAGAGCTGGAGTGAAGAAAAACTCAAACCGCCCCCTAAATCAGCTTCGTTATGAACCAAACCATGCCATGAATCACAGGAGCTTTGGCTTTCACAATCGATTCTAACACTGCAATTTCCTTTATTGATTGGGAGTTTTGGATGTTACGTAAAATTGGATTGTACGGTCGTACTGCACTTACACAACCACCGGAAACATTAAAGACTTTCAATGGTTTCAGATCAAGACGCGAAAACATGTTTTGTTATGAACATATTCTGTGACAATAAATCGTTTCAAAGCAACCATATGTTGCATATCATCACGTGAACCGTCTTTTTGTCCCATGGTAAAGTGATCATTTTATAATGACGTTTGGATCAAACGGTTTCACTTTTCGGTTTCTAAAACTGGATCATACATGCGACACGTTAGGTCTCTGGACGTTGTACTCAACTACCCAAGCTATTGCTGCCCCCTAGTGGAGGAGGGGCAGTTTAGATAGATAGATAGATCTTTCAATTAAATTCGATTCAATTTATGCTTTATTATTGGCATGACAATTGTTACAATGTATTGCCAAAGCATAGTGTTTACATTGA